CTGTGCAGCCGCCGAGAGAGCTGGCCGGCGGTGTGCCGCTCCCCCGCGGAAGTGGGGGAAAGTGGCAGGGGGAACCGCCCTTCCACGGACGTGGAAGGGACGGTAGCCAACCCGGGAAGAACCAGCAGCAAACCCGGGAAAGGCCGAGCAGACGAAAGAACAGCGCAGGGTCCTGTGTCGTTCCTCCACGAAGACGGGGAGCGACAACACATCATCACTCCTTCATTTTCTCCTTATTAGAAGTGAGTCACTAGGTCTAGACCACATTCAGTATGGATGAGATTAAACTCCACTTTTCAAGAGGAATGCTAAAAAAATTTGTTCATGTGTTTCCAGGTGTGACAGATAGATTTCCTCCTTATTAAAACATTTTTTCCTTATTGGAACTCTTCTTTTTAGGGTTATTTCATATATTAAAGAAATATTTCTTTATATGGTTTTCTTGACTTAGATGGCTGCTGTAATCTTCTCTGCCCTTGTGAGAATCACATATCTCTTAGAATTTTTGTTCAAGTTCTATCAGTGCTGTAAAATCTTCTCTGAACATCTATTCCACAACGATCCCTTTCATCTATTGACTGCTAGTTTTATTGATTAAATTAATCACTTTGTAATTAGTGAATGCAAATGATGAGAATTTTTATATTGTCATTTTGGATTGCTACACGATCCATAAATTGTTTTTCAGCATTTTAATCAATGACTGACATAGAACACAAGTCAGAACAGTAGCCTTGAAGGGAACATCAAATATTTTTGGTGGTTTACTACTGATATGACATGGTGCTAGCCAAAGAGGGCAGAGTAGTGACTAACATGGATGTGACTGCTGCCCTTACAGAACAGAGAGCAGATTAGAGAAGACACATATGAGACAAATAGTCAACATGTGATGGGGATGAAGTCTTTGAATAAAATAGGAGGGGTTATGAACACTTAGATTTGCCTAAAAGTCAAAGGATGGAAACTGGAAAACTGGACAAAAGATTAAACTCAGAATATCAAAAAACAATGTGCAGTTTCTGCTCCTGTAATGTCCACCTGGCAGACTTGAACACTGTTCCTTCTATTATCAGATAGCAGGTCTTTCCTACTTGCAGGCAACAATTCTGTTATAAAAATCCTGGATTCACATTCTGAGAGAGAGAACGTCTGTTATTAATTAAAGGCTTATAGCAGAAAGGGGCAAATCATATTGAAGTGCAAATCAATTTCCCCATTCAGAAAGGGATTTGAGAGTTTATAGAGTTGGGGTAATTGAGGAAGAGCTGGGTGAAACAACATGGTATGACAGGTACAGAAGAAAGGGGTGGGGAAATCCCTTTGAGCATGCTTGTTGACTTATCCTGTTTGCACATACATCACTATTCAAAGAAGGCTCCTGAAATATGAGCAGAACTATGTTAATCACCATTATAATGAACCATAAGGTAACTCTGGTCAGTGTGGACCTGGACATGCTTCAGTTACATGGTCAGGGTGCAGCCAGTTCTGTCCAGTTTTATCAAGGAACTGGAAAGACAGGAACAGCAGATTTTTTTTGTAAGGCAACTATTATGGGATTTCAAGTCACTGTGCAACAGGTAGGCAAATGATTATTTGTATTGCTAGTATGTTAGGCAGTTTTGAGAAGCTTGTTGTTAACCAAGGGAGGGTGATCCTTTGTAGTCCACAGTTTCTATTTGCTGTCTACTTGTTATTCTGAAATGTATTGAAATGATGTTTTTTAATGAATGCAATGGCATCTTAAGAAATAAATCTAGTGAGTATGATTCTAAAATATTTTAAAATACTATATCAAGGTAGCCAATGAGTATTCCTGCTTTACAGAAAAAAAGAGATCTATTGACAGATACTTCATTCTCTTAAAAATATTATTTCTTTCTAAATGTTTGTTTATTTATTTGAAAGAGAGTGCTAGGAGGGAGTCAGAGAGAGAGGGCACTTTCTTCCCTTGGTGCACTCTCCCAAATGTCCACAACAGCTCGAGCTGCACTGGTGCCAAAGTCAGGAGTCAGAACTCAATGCAATTCTCCCACATGAGTGGTGGGAACCCAATTTGAGTCATCACTGCTGCCTCCCAGGGTCTGCATTAGTGGAAGCTGAGCTCAGGAACTGGAGGGGGAATCAAATGCAGATACTCTGATACTGAACACAGCATCTTAACAACTAGGCTAAATATCTGCTCCATAAATATGGTATTTTTTTAAAAAGTAAAATAAACAATTTCAATGAATGATCTATCTTTCAACTTGTCTTCCATTTTCCTGATGCCCAAATCTGTACAGAATATCTCTTCTTTGCTCTAATTCACCTCACACAATGGTTTGTTTTTAATTTTTCTGCAATGTAGGTCCTTCTCCTAATCTGCGTCATGCTTTATAAATGCTATCCCTAGCCAAACTAGAAAAGGCTACCAATGACTGTTTCTAGATCAGGATTGAGAAAGCATTTTCCCATACCTGGGATAACGATTCTCCCTTAAACCTATGAAAGGATGAATATAGGTCATAGCTGCCTATGGCCCTGTGCACCAGAGATTTCAGGTTTGCCCCCCTTAACCATAATCCTTTATGTCAGCTCAATACAGTCACACATCCTGAGTTCTGTTGTCACCCAAGAGTATTCACAAATACACATCCTGAGTTCTGTTGTCACCCAAGAGTATTCCAAATCCTTCTTTTACTCACAACTTTCTTTCTTTCTTTTTTTTTTAACAGGATAACAAATACCATTTATTTACATTTACATAAAATTCCAGAACACTCAAAATTAGCTCAGTCAATGGAAAACTCCTGACTTCTAGAAGATTATGTTTGATGTGATAACAAATTATGAGGAGATACCACAGGTTTGGTAGGTACTGGAAATGTCATATACCTTATTTGGTTGGTAGTCACAGAGGTAAGTTCCTATGTCAAAATCATTTTGAATGTACACTAAGGTCTGTATACCTTATGAATGCTATGTCTCAATTAAAAAGACTTCTCAAAAGTAATAAAAACCTTCAAAAAAGTAAGAGGGAGTTGTTAACAAACCCTAGTGTAGTTATTCAATGATCACAGGCAACAACAGCAGAAATTACAAAAAAGCCTGAAATAAAACTTTGGGTTTTTTCTTCATCAGAAATAGTCTAGAAAAGGACGGGTATTTGGAACACAAATTGGTGATTTCTCTAACCCTGTCTCTTCCAAATCTTAAAAAAAATCTAGTTAAAATGACCAAAAGGGGCCGGCGCTGTGGCGTAGCCCGTAAAGCTGACAGTCTGGGGTGCTGGCTTCCCATATGGACACCGGTTCAAGTCCTGGCTGCTCCACTTCCGATCCAGCTCTCTGCTATGGCCTGGGAAAGCACTAGAAGATGGCTCCAGTGATTGGGCCCGCACATCCATGTGGAAGACCCGGAAGAAACTCCTGGCTCCTGGCTCAGACTGGCACAGCTCCAGCCATTGTGGCCACCTGGGGTGTGAACCAGCAGATGGAAGACCAACTCTCTCACTGCCTTTCCTTCTCTCTCTGTGTAAACTGACTTCCAAATAAATAAATAAATAGATCCTTTCAAAAAAATAACAAAGAATGAATCATCTTGAAGGAACAAAAAATCAACATGATATGCAGCTTCCATGACACAGGTGGGTAAAACAGGGAATTTCATTTGATCTGGTCTGGAGCCAGTTATAGGTAGTCTAGGAGCTCTCAATTGACTGTCAAATTTAAGAAAAACTCAGAAATAGGAATATAAAAAAATAATGTAAATATTTGACAGTAGGAATTGCAAAAATGGCACCAAGGGGAAGGAATCATTCTAAGGAATTAGAGTTGTTCCTTATGTAGCGACATAAGAAAAGAAACCTCCCCTTGGAAAATGCATTACCCAGGACAAAGTTTTCATGATATTCCTATCTATGGGGTTATCTCACAGATCAACCACTGCCCACAGATGATGTGAAACATGATTATAAAAGAAAAAAAGCAAGAAATTCTATCACTTATGCACCTTGTAGGATGACATTAAATAGTCCATTCTTCATGACTAGAATATACAATTTACAACTATGGAACATAATTATAAAGTAGAAAGTTTGAAAGAGTAGACAAAATAATTACCAGTAATGTCCTCATGCTAACAACACTATTAGCATATTGGCTTATTTATCTTCACTTTTAACTGTTTTCCCTGTATATATTCTTCTTACAATTTATTCAATCATCCAATAAATGTGTTTTGAGAGCCTAGTATGAGCCAAGCACGTTGTTATTTCCAAAGTAACTATAGAAGTTCCTCTGTCTAAATCTTAACCTGGGCCAATTCAAATGGCTTTCACAACTATTATAAATTCAAAGTTTCACTAATAATATGTCCTCACATTTGATTAATTTATTTTTATGAGGGCTAATCCAAACATTGTGTCAGCAACACAGCATACTCATCCTACTATATATATATTCAGAGTAGCACACGTATTTATTTTTCTGCCTCAAAATTGGTGGGACAGTTTATGAAACACATCCTTAAAAGGAAATTTATGTATAACACTACTGTTACTAAATATGTCAAAAGTAACAGTTCAAAACCACTCCAAGAACTTAGATGACTTAAGTGCAAACATACAATTTGAAAGTATTTTTATTCATAAGTTATGTATTTCTGCATCATGCTTCTCGATATAGCCCTTCAAACCTAAATTACCACTTTGCAATCAACTTATTTTCTTTTTCTTGTCAGCAAATATAACCAAAATGAAATAAAATGACAATTCAAAACTCAAAAGTCAGTAAAGCTATTCCTTGGCCTGAACAAGGGACACACACATTTGACACCCTGAGTGCTTCTGTTTAGAGGATTGTGCCTTGCAGTATACCACCTGTAATAATTTCACTGCTGTACCAAATACACGCAGCAGCCCTCGGTGGGTGGAGACTGTATATGATGGTGCTCTTCTGGGTCCCTCATTAATCAGGTGTCTCAAAAACCAGCACTGACTCAGCAGCAACACTCACCAATTAGCACCTGCCCACTCTTCATAGCAGCTCCTCCTGGCAGCAGGCCGTGGACCACGGGTCTCTCTCCCTCGCTCTGCTTTCCAGCTCTTTTCCAGCTCCATTTGGTCTGATGGATAATGCCAACCAGCACTTCCAGAAGCTTGAGCTGCTCTTTGGCTTTCATGACAGTTAGCTTTTTGGGATTTACATAAACAGTCACATCTTTGTACCGTTGCTGGACAACGACTCCTGTCTTCTGATGTGACTGATGCTTTAGAATGGACACTGGCCCATTGTCTGTGCTATTTTTTTTTATTGTAATGCTTGGGGCAAAAGCCTTTTGCTTTTTAAAATTTTCATAAACCGCTTGAGTTTGGGTTCACACTTTTTTCTTTCTTTGTAATCATCCTCTTCAATGATAATCTCACGTTCACTGAACCTCATGTGGTTCACAGTCGGCGACTCAGGCAGGAGGGTTTCCTCTTCATCCTCAATTCCAAGTAAAACAGCTCCCCATTCTTCTGCACGCTGTCAAGCCACTCAGGCTCAAGATCATCAGAATGGCTACTCGCTGAGGAGCAGGAACCCGAGTCGCTGACTGGGTCTTCAGAATCACATTCCTCATCTTCTTGGGAAGAGGGCTCTCTCCAGGGAGCTCCTCTGGGCTCCGAGGCAACTCGCACAAAGCTGGAGACGCTATGGTCACGATGCAGCAGCTACAAGTGGAATTCAAATCTCACTGCTGCGGCTTCCAGGGGCCGCCATGTTGCCAGCTCTGACGACTTTATTTCTTGACCTGCCTACAATTTGATCTATCATTATGCAATTATCAGCCTTTGATATTATCTCCTATTTATTAATGTTTGAGAAGGCCAATAAAAAGCACTCAACACTTGCATTTCCCTCCAAACACAGAAATAATTGAGATTAAAAACAAAGGTGTTGGGGTAGTTGTTTAGCCTATCAATAAGAATGCCGATTAAGACACCCTCATCTCACATCAGCATACTTGGGTTTTATTTCTCTCCGTAGCTCCTTACTCCAGCTTCCTTCAAACGTAGACTTTGGGAAGTTGCAGAGGTAGTTCATGAATTTGGGCTTCTGTCACCCGTGTAGGAGGCTCTAATTGGGTTCCCTTCTCTCAACTTTGGTCCCACCCCAGTTCTGGCTATTGTGGGTATTTGGGGAATGAAAGAGTGGATTGGAACACTCTGTTTGTCTGTCTCTTTCAAATAAATAAAAATAAAGTGGTCAAAGTACAGCAAAATAACAACTTAGTTACTGATGATTATTGAATTAAAGAATTATGGTTTAAGTCTGTGGCTAAATATATGTAATTTTTTCCCAAATGAATACATTTGGATTCCCCTTATCAAGTCTCAAGGATCTCCATAAAGATTTTAATTTGGATTTCTTTTAAGTCATATGACAATATGAGTGATGTATCACACTACAGCTGACTTTATCCATTTCTAAACCACACGATAGTATACTAGTTCTACTGTTGGCAAGCAAGCTGGGCATTCAGGTATGCATATATACCTATGCTGTGTTATGAGAAAATAAGAAGACTATATATGACCCCAAATTTCAACAAAGTGATTAGTGATATTTTAAAGAAAGTATTCCTATTCCAATGAGTTGTGGTTTCAAGGTATTTTGAGATAAAAGATCTGTAGAAGATGTAGAAGATACATCTACCTATTTGCAGATACCTGAACAATGGACCTGGGAAAGACCTTCTTTTAAAACAATGATTAGAAGAATAAATATATAGTTCACAAAAATACCTGTCTATAGAGTAATTCTACAACATGGTTTGATGTTATGAGGGTTATCATTGATAGGAGAAAGAAGATATGGTATAATCTTTAAAAAGTCTCAAAAATTTTACAATCTTTGATGTTAGAGAAAAAGAGTAAATGCATACAAAGATTAGTATTTAAATATTAATAGGAACATTATTCATAATATTAAAAAATTAGAAATATCTTAAATGTCTATCATCTGGTGATAGAGTAATCAAAATATTGTACTGTGATGGCAAGGAAATATTATTTGGCAACAAAAAAGATCATCTATTTTTATATGCTACAGTAATGATGAACCTCAGCAACATTGTGCTAACTAAAAGAATTCAAAAACTGACATATTATATTATTCTATTTATATCAAATGCCAAGACAAAAGAATTTTAGAGACAAAAACAAGTTAGAGGTTTCATGGGGAAGAGAATAGGAGTGAAAACCAATTGCAAAGGGGCTCTAGGAGATTTGGGAGGAAATGTTTGAATTTTGGAATGCAAATGATGGAAGTGAAATGCAAAGTATTTTGCTTTTAAAGGCAACAAATAAAGATGAGTTTTAAAAAAAAGAATTTGTTGCCAGTGAACAAAACAATAGTACTTTAATTTTGAAAATAAAAGAACAAGAAACATAAGACTTACCGTATTTATTTGTAAAATCAAGAATGAAATATTTATTACAATTAGTTAGGTTTTTTTTTTTTTGACAGGCAGAGTGGACAGTGAGAGAGAGAGACAGAGAGAAAGGTCTTCCTTTTGCCGTTGGTTCACCCTCCAATGGCCGCTGTGGCCGGCTCGCTGAGGCCGGCGCACCGCGCTGATCCAATGGCAGGAGCCAGGTACTTATCCTGGTCTCCCATGGGGTGCAGGGCCCAAGCACTTGGACCATCTTCCACTGCACTCCCGGGCCACAGCAGAGAGCTGGCCTGGAAGAGGAGCAACCGGGACAGAATCCGGGGCCCCTGATCGGGACTAGAACCCGGTGTGCCGGCACTGCAAGGCTGAGGATTAGCCTAGTGAGCCACGGCGCCGGCCTATTACATTTAGTTAGAAGTCAGTATGTTTTTTTAAATTTTTATTTGATAGGTAGAGTTATAGACAGTGAGAGAGAGAGAGAGAGAGAGAGAGAGACAGAGAGAAAGGTCTTCCTTCCATTGGTTCACCCACCAAATGCCTACTATGGTCGAAACTGTGCCGATCCGAAGCCAGGAGCCAGGTGCTTCCTCCTGGTCTCCCTTGCGGGTGCAGGGGCCCAAGCACTTGAGCCATCCTCCACTGCCTTCCCAGGCCACAGTAGAGAGCTGGACTGGAAGAGGAGCAACCGGGACTAGAACCTGGCACCCATATGGGGTGCTGGTGCCGCAGGTGGAGGATTAACCAAGTGAGCCATGGCACCAGCCCCTCAGCATAAGTTTTAAATAGACAGATTGAATTAATATCTGAGCTCTTTGACCTTTGGAATGAACTTTGGTGATTAAATTTTTGAGTTTTATTTTTAACATTAAAAAGTAACATCTGACAAGGATGCAGTGATAAAATAAAAGGATTTTAAATTGTTTGGTTTAATTTTTTTTCCTGGTGAGTAGCAATTACTAAATCAAAACCATGGAGAGGAGAGTCTTTTTGTATTCACTCTGTCATTAAGAAGGGAAATAATTACAAAAATGTTGCTACAAATACTCAATTTTTAAAATTATATATATATATATGATTTATTTTTTGAAAGGCAGAGCCACAGAGGGAGAGGGAGATACAGAGAGAGATCTTCCATCTGCTGGATCACTCCCCAAAAGGCAGTAAACGACCAAGGCTAGGCCAGGCCAAAACCAGGGGCCAGGAGCTTCTTCCAGGTGCCCCACGTGGATGCAGGGGCCCAAGCACCTGGGCCATCCTGTGCTGCCCTTCCCAGCACATGAGCAGGGAGGTGGACCAAAAGTGGAGCAGCCAGGACAGGAAGTGGCACCCATATGGATGCCAGTGCTACAGAAAGCGGCCCCAGCACCATGCCACAATGCAGGCCCCTAAGAATACGTATACCTCATTGTAGTTCCCACTTTGCATCTTCTGAACTATTTCAAAAGGAATTTAAGAAATAATGTTCTTAGTAGGCCAATGTGCATGTTTCCGTGGACAGTCCATAGACACAGACCTACCTAATCTTTGTCCATTAGAATACATTTTCTAGACCACAGTTAGAAAATGAAAGCAGATACATTTTGAGTTCTTAAGATACACATTGAAAGAGTTACAGCAACTAGAACACGTAGGGGAAAATCTCATTAGTAGTCTAATAGGAAAATAAAAGAGGATTTTTCATGTAAATAATAAAAGAACTTGTGGAAGTGGCAATGGGGAATTATTAACCTAACTGTAGTAAAAAGTTGCAGATCTGTCTGGGTTTGCTTTGCTAACATTGGATGGAGTTATTACCTCTTTGTGTGGGAAGAAAGGAGGGAAGGGAGGAGAGTCTGCAGTCTAATTGCTCCCTCTGTTCTACACTCCTGAGTCAGCGATCCCTGGAGAACAGGCTCCTGAAGGAAGCCAAGGAGATTTATTCTCTCACTGTGGGGGTGATTGCTGCACTTTCCCTCTGGGCTCAGAGACACTGCTGGGTGTACAGGCAGGAGTGGCTGAGCCTGAGCAAGAGGAGCACCCAGCTTTTCTGTCCTTGGAGCCTGGTTCTTCTGTTCCATGTCTCTCCAAAGGGGACAGGGCAGGTGGTGATGGGACCTATGGTTTCAGCCGCAGTCAGCCATACTTACCTACAATTTCTGAGCACCTCTTCTCTGGAGCACTTTCCCCTCCTCATCCTCCCAGGGTGATGTGCACTAGAGGAAGGAGGGGAGACTGTGAGAGCTGGCTGTATTTGAGTTTGGACTAATGCTGACCAACTTGACTCCATGGCATGTTCTTAAGGTGTTATCTGATTAAGGAAGCTTAGCTTTGAAAACCTCTAGGGCGATGGCGCATCTTCAGCCAAATTGCAGTCAAATTGCTGGAGAGACATTAATTCTGTACTGAAAGATGATGACTGTTTTATTATTGGTGATTGTTCATGATACATATTGTCTTTCTTTGTATCCACTAGACAATTCTCAGTTGCTCCAGCTACCAATGGAGATAGTGGTTTCATAAATCAATCACATCAATAGGTAACTCCACAACTGCTCCAAATCAACCTACAATAACTTTGTGGAATAAAAACTCATTAAAATCAGAATATCAGTATCTTGGATAGATTTTTTTTAACCAGGGTATGTAGAAGCAGAGACTACACTAGGTACTTACATGAATTAGTGTTCATCCTCATCAGAAGAACATACATTAGGGTACTAATTATAGAGACTCAGGAAGATTTGGAGATTTTTTTTTCCAAAGTTGTCAGAAGTCAGAAATGACGTTTAAACCCTGATAGAATGA